ATTAACACACTTAGATTTATAGGAACTGACCGTTTGTTATATCAAACAATGGAGGACATCTGTTTTCTTTTTCGTTAGCATTCCCTCTGTCATTTGTGTGATCAACATTCACTGTAGAACACATGAAATTTTCGAAAATGAGTTACACAAAAGGAATAATATAAACTAATTCAACATACAGTAGATATAAAGCTTCATGTTCATTACATATTTTGCTGGACCAAAAGAATTTCTCGATCGAAATAAGCTACTAACAAATAAATTGGATCATAGAAAGCCTAAACCATCTGCGCACGAATTCATATTTTTTATGTTGTAGAAGACAATACACCAAAATGAGAAATTATAATAGCTGCCAAATGTTCAAAAGCAATAATATGTCAATTCACAGTCTCTTTTCTAACCCTTGATTTTTAGTCGCACCAGATTGTGTTATAATTTAGGGTTTATATCTAACATCGATTAATTTATAACAGGGAAAAGGTTAAATACATCAAAGCTAAGCGCGGCAATATAAGTTTTTACCATTGCGATCCGAGAAGTGTTTACTCCGCTTTTGATTTCGTATGCATATCCTGTTTGTTCTTGCCAGTTTCTTCTGATCTTCCATGTCCAAATAGACTTGAAAATGGATTTCTGCTGAGAATTGAGAAATTTTTAAAAAGAGAGATAGAGCGCGAAGAAGAATTGAGAATATTTATGACTGGGATAGCGTGCAGACTGTTTGGGACAAATAGGGAATTATTTTAGAGGCATATGTGCTAATATGTTTTAATTGTTTGGATTTATGTATTTCCCAATACTTTTAATTTAGAGAAAGATAGATATATCCTAGTGGTCTTAAGTTTTAGCTTAGCATACCTAACGTTTTTCTTTTTCGATTTTTGTCATTATATTGAACTAATATGTATAAGCCAATATCTAGTAAAATTTAATTTTACTATTTTTTGTTATTGAACAAAAACGGAAAAAACATGAAGTCACATTAAAGCTATTTTAGGTTCTATTTCAAACACAGAATATAATTGCACGCACAGAGCGAAGCCAGTATTTTTAGTTTATTAGTTCTTATTGAATCTATGTAATTTACATGATTATGAAAAGATATTTTGTACATATTAAATAAATAGTGAACAAAAATACATAATTTTATCGTTTCCTGCACACACATACGTCCTGTTTTATTAGAAATAGCATAAGCATAATGTTAACATTTTTATTTGGGAATAGTTTCTAAGTATTCTGCTGGTACATTTTATACATTGTTCTATCTACATATTAATAATCTAATTGATGGATGGTGAATTTGGTATTTCAATGAATTTTGCTATCTGATGCTCTGTAATGTACATCATTCTTGATTTCCAACTAATTTAGACAACTTGTGTTTAATGTAGATTCTGTTTACTAACAACCCCAGACTACATCCTGTGTTGCTCATTTATTGAATGACATTTAGTTAAAGCTTATTCCAATCATAAAGGATTTTTTCGTATTTTAGTACTGTGACATAGTTGAAACTGCTTGAATAAAATGGTTCCTTTACCTTGAGGTTGCAACTGATATTTGGTTCTAAGGTACAGGCTACAATTACATAAATACTGGTAAAGCTTGTTTTGGGTACCTAACATCATGATTCTGTTGTTAGCATTCAGGCTACTGTCCCAGAATATCCCCTTATTTTGGCTAAATTTCATCTCAATGATACTCCGCAGAAGTTTCACTTAGTCGTTTTATTCTGCATTCCAGTGATTTTGTGAAATGTATTTTCAAAGGTTTCTTATTTTTCTTAAATTTTCTTCCCTGTCAAACGAATCTATATAATGGAGGGAGTATAATATATTAGGTTGAATGCCGGAATTGCATGTTAGCAGTAGTGTATGCGATAGATAGTTTGAATTAATGCCATCCTTTAAGTGTTGTTTATTTTGACTTGATTTT